TTCAAGTTTCAGATGACTACAATTTCAGAATGGAAAAATCCAATAAATAGTTCAAGACTAGTGTTCAAAATTCAATAGAAAAACGGTCCAGAGATATAGATTTGGGAATCTTTAGCACAGAGATTGCAAATGATGCTGCAGTAGTAATACCATCACCTGAAGAAGGTTCCATCGGGACAACTGGTCTAGCACAGTAGCTGAAGTACAGTATTTAATGCCAGACTAATAAAGAGTGGTACTGAGGAGAAAGTTTTAGAAAGAGATAAGAATGGAAAAAGAAAACCAAAAATCTGGCATCCTGGAAACTCAGGGAATACAGCATTCAAGGTGATGGTAATAAACAGATAAAAAGCTGTCTATAGGTTTAATGAGATATTGATTAAAATGAGTAGGCAGTCAGAAATATCTCTTCCAAATTAGAAAGTATTGAAAAGTTAAAATCAAATTTCCCTAAAAAACTATGGAAGACAGAAAACAAGATGAAAAATTCACCAAATCTAATTCATGGAAAAAATCTGTATTTGCATTTAAATCCCATTTTTTCATTTTAATTTTTACCTGTTGGTTTGGGGCTGCTAACGTGTTTGTTTTTTTTCAATTTGAGTTAATAAAGAAATCATTCAGTAAATATCCATCACCCTTGGTATTTAGTGTTCAAACTTTCTGGCTAATTCTAGAGACCCATTTTGAAATAAGGAAACTATTCTTGGCAGTTAGTCAAGACTACCCAAAACAAGCAAAACCACTTTAAGGATCAGGTCTCTCTCCTTGTTTAAATCAGTGACACTATTAAAGGCTATGCCAATAACTTTATTCAGTAGCTAGAATACATGAGTACTTTTTTAATTTTAAGTTCAGATCCATAGCTAAAGAGTAATGTGGCTGAATGAATTAAGCTCAAAGGTGAAAGCCAGAGGCTTTAAACACAAAATTTATCTCTGCCTATTATTTTATGACCAATTCTGAAAATGTTCAGAATGTTCCTTCAGAAAAACAAAATAGCAGATAATAAAATAACACTAAATCAGAATGAGATTAGTCAAACAAAAATTAGAAATAATTATAGAACCATAAATAGTCACTGATAAATATTACATCAAAAACAAGAATTTATATCTCCCTGACAACTGCAACTACTTACTGACAAAATGAAACCTGTGTTTTCAGGAATAGAACAAGAACTAGGTAGGACACAAACCCCAAATGGGCTCTTTAAAGGTTATCATTCAAAAACTGATGGAGTCAAGGCATAAGGCAAATACAGAGATAACTTTACCCACTCTACTCTTCAGCATATTACACTCCAACCATTTCAGCTTTCTTTTCTCCTAGAAAGTAGACACTCATTTGCAAAGAGATTTCACTTAGAAGTCACATAGTAACTAGAATAAAGTCATTACTAACATGGAGTAAAGTGAGATATGAACTGGGTCAGTTAACTAAAAACCACTTGGACTTATGAAATCATGAGAACGAGATTCACTTCACAGTTTGCCAATTTCTGGTTTGGGGTCAATGAAATACTAAACATTTGACCAACACATTTAATCCCCAAATAACACTATAAGGTATCCTGTTTTTAAAGTTAAAAAAACAAAGGACAGGAAATGTAAATCACCTCATAGATTCTACTTTTTTATTAAATTATTTATTTATTCTAATTTGTTATACATGATGGCAGAATGTAATTAATTTCATATTACACATATAGAGCACAATTTTTCAAGTCATTGACTGGACAAAGTATTTTCACACCATTCATGTCTTCATACATGTACTTAGGGTAACGACGTCTAACTCATTCCTATCCCCTTTCCCCTCTCTCCTCTTTGCCCTCTCTAAAGTTCCTCCATTCCTCCCATGCTCCCTGCCCCCCCCCCCATCACCATTATGAGTCAGCATCCTCATATCAAAGAAAATATTTGGCCTTTGGTTTTTTCGGATTGGCTTGCTTCACTTAGCATTATATTCTCCAACTTAATCCATTTACCTGCAAATGTCATGCTTTTATTCTCTTTTAATGCTGAGTATGGTTCCATTGTGTATATATTCCAAAGTTTCCCTATCCATTCATCTACTGAAGGGCATCTGGGTTGGTTCTATAATTTAGCTATTGTGAACTGTGCTGCTATAAACATTGACATGGCTGTGTCCCTGTAGTATGCTATTTTTAAGTCCTTTGAGTATAAACCAAAGAGTGGGATAGCTGGGTCAAATGGTAGCTCCATTCCAAGTTTTCCAAGGAAATCTCCATACTGCTTTCCAGATTGGCTGCACCAATTTGCAGTCCCATCATAGGTTGTATTTTATATATATAAACACACACACACACCCAGTACTAGGGATTGAGCCTAGGGGCACTATACCACTGAGCAACTTCCCCAACCTTTTTTATTTTTAGAATAAAAATTAAAAGGGTCTTACTAATTTGTTGACATTGTCCTCAAACTTGCCATCCTCTTGCCTCAGCCTTCTAACTAGCTGGAATTACATGTGCATGCCAATATATATCATTCATATATATATATATATATATATATATATATATATATATATATATATATTAATGACAGCCTTTAAAAATCTTAATACATACATTGGATCACCCAGCTTTGGGCCTAGATAATAACCTTATAATCAAATATTGCCATGCAATCTCACTAGTCTCATTTTTGTTTTGTTTTGTTTATAACTGAGTAAATTTTAAGTGAAGATCACATGACATGAAAGCTCATTTTAAGAATGAAAGTTTCATGGAAGCTGTGTGAGAACTGAGTTAATGCCCTGCTAAACCAAACAAAGCCAGCTCTGAAGAGTCATGGCACATTCATGTTATTTGTAAGAAGGCACAGCCCTAGCCCCATCACAGAGCATACCAATTTGCAAATAGTTTACTAACAAGAAATATAGCAGTAAAGACCAAATGAATGTTCCCAAATGCCACTAATAACTGCACCAGTCTTAAAATTAAGAATTTTAAGAATACTGCTGCATTAGTTTTCATTGCTGCCATACTTTAAAACTTTGTGGCTTATATAACATGAATCTTACAGTTCTGTAGATGAGAAGCCTGATACATGCATCAGTGAGCTGAAATTAAGGTATTGGCAGGCCTGGGTTGCTTTCTGGAGGTTCTGGAAACACAGTACATTTCTTTGTATTTCCCCACTTTTAGAGACCACCTGCATTCATTCTTCAGCTATGGCCAAGCCTTCCTCCATTGTCAAAGCCAGCAACAGCCACCTGAATCCTTCTCAAGTCCTATCACTCTGACCTTACTGCCATGCTCAAATATTTTTCTTTGACTCACTCCTCCTACCCCTTATTTTACTTTTAAGGATTGTATTAGTTTGCATGGGCCCACATAAATAATCCAAGATTATCTTTTATTTTAAAGTCAGCTGATAAGCAACCTTAAATCCATGCTGCCGTATATTCTACAATATTCACAGGTCCTAGGCATGAGAACACAGACATTTTGGAGGACCATTACTCTGTCTACCACAGCTATTTGCTAGCACTGTCACCAGATAAACAATGGAAATTCATGGGTTATCAAGTTGGTTCTTATTAACAATGACATTGAAAGATTGCTCACTGACAAACGTTAAGAAAAATATAATGTCTTATTTTAGTGAACTAGCAAACAAAGCTTCAAGTATATTAGCACTGCTTTCTTTATATATACTTACATCAACAGATTTTTTTCTGCAACATTATTTAAATCAAAATATAAATACAGTATTGGAAATCTTCCTACTGTTTCTACTATTAAAGTTATTAACAACAATTTATATTTTACAAAAAAACATTATTTGATACAGCATACTATGTGTTCTCATGCCTAGGATCTGTGAATATTGTAGAATATATGGCAGCATGGATTTAAGGTTGTTTATCAGCTGACCTTAAAATAAAAGATAATCTTGGATTATCTATGTGGGCCCATACAAATTTTGATTTTCATGGTTTTATATGTATTTAAATTATGACTTTATTTTGGTTTCATAATTATTTCAAAACTATACCTATATGGGTCTATACCTAGTTCTTTTACATACTGCATATTTATAGAAGAGTATATTAAAAATATTTAAGTCAAAACCAGAGAACCATAAATTTATTTTTTCCTTTAGGAAGGAGTTATGTAACAGTTTTGAGAGACTAGAGTAGAAATTGATAGCATGGCATTCAATGTCAGATCTGAACTCAACTACTACCTCTGTTATTTACTAGCTATATGACTTTGGACTAGTTGCTGATACTCATTAGGTATTCAGTCTCCTTGTCTATAAAATATTCCTACATTATAGGTTTACCATGAGCACAATATAAAATTATATATGCAAAATGCTCAGCATGATTCCTAGCTATTATCATGTATTCAATAAGATTAATATTTACTTTATAACACTGTAACCAAGCTTTAAAATAAAAATTAAAGACAAATTTCAATAACGAGAATATTACATGTCAGTTAATATTAAACTGCAAAAAAAATTAAACTGTAAAACATTTCTGCATATATTTAATAAATTTTTTGGATATAATCAATTTAAGTAAATTATCTTATTTTCTTATATTTCTATTTAATTAATTAGCTTATTTATCTTAAAAGTTACTTATCTTTGAAGTTTATAATTTAGTCACCCAAAATCATTTTGTATTCCTCAAGTCTTTACTTAGTAATAATTATAGTACTATTTACAATTCTACAAATAGTATGGTATGATAAAAAAATTTTTAACAGTTACTCTACCTTTCCAAAAAAGAAAATGTACTGGTATATTAACATAAAATGACTAGAAAAAAATCAGAAAAATGAATCTGCCTAAGAGTATGGAATGCCTAAATTACTTTAAAGTAAATACTGAAGACTCAACTTCCAAGGCTAATATTTTTGTAAGTTTAACTCAAGATAATTAACTGTAAAATTCATTTAAAACTATTCCAAGACAGTTTTTTTAATATCATCGTGTATCACATACAAAAATACTTACAGTTTGATAATATGAGGATGACGGAAGAGTTTTAGATTTTGAATTTCTCGTTTTATTTTTCCAACAACATCTAAACTGCGAATCTTCTGTCTATTTAAGATTTTAACTGCCACTTTATGGCCTGTCAATTGATGTTCTCCAACTAAAGAAAAAGGAAAAAACAAAACCTGTCATATCAGCATAACAATTTCTATTAATGCTTCCTCTTCCGGTATTGCCCTAAATTTCTTTACTCAAAAAATACCACTTTCAGACCGCCTCTTCCTACCAGTAGACTACTGTGGGAGCCCAGGCCCAGCCTAGACGGCCCACACCAGCCCATGGGGGACTCAGGGCTCACAGTAGGCCCAGGTTCACCCCTCCACCCTTGGGGCAGACACCCGACTGAGCCTAGCCTCTGGAACTGCCCCTTTCGACCAGCAAACTACCACAGGAGGTCAAGCCTGTCCCAGATATCCGACCACACCTACCTGCACAGGATCCAGGTCCAGTGTAGGTCCGAGTTAGCCAAAGCCCCTGCCCCCCGAACCTGGGAGCCTAAGCCTAACCCACTTCCATCTTGGGACACTGTAGTCATCGCCACAGCCTTCTCCACACAATAGCCTCTAACTTTTTGACAGCAGATGGGACCTAGAAGCTGCAGCACCTCACAGCAGGATTCCCAAAGGGAGTATGAGGCCTACCCTTTCAGCCCCAACTCTGTAAGACATTACTTCCATCTTGGGGCACCTCAACTATTATCTTAAGCTACCTTGGCTATATTTAGATGCAGTAGCATACATTGAGGGTCACCAGCAGGGTCTAGAAGTCCAACATCAAGGTGAGGTAAAGACAATCTGCACGAGTACTACAAGAATACAGGAAAGAAACTATAATATAACAGATCCACACTGCAAGAAAGGAAGACACATAGACAACATGAAAAAACAAGGGAGGAAAGTGCTCCAAACAAACCAGGATACTATAATAACAGAACCCATGGACAGCAAAGTTGATGAAATGTCAGGGAAGGAGTTCAAAAGGTTTATAATTAACATAATCTGTGATTTATAGAATAACCTAAATGAGCAAATACAGGCAAAAACTGATCACTCCAACAAAGACTTAAGAGCGCAATTACAGGTAGCAAAATATTACAGAGAGAGAGAGAGAGAGAGACTGACTCTGGAAAAAAAAAGTCAGAAATTCTGGAAATGAAGGATACAATAAATCAAATAAAAAACTCAATAGAAAGCATAACCAACAGATTAGATATCTTGGAAGAAAGAACATCAGATCATTAAGACAAAGTATACAATCTGGAAAATATAGTTGATCACACAGTGAAGATAATAAGAAACCATGAGCAAAGCATCCAAGAATTATCGGATAGCATCAAAAGACCAAATCTAAAAGTAACTGGGATAGAAGAAGACACAGAGTTTCAAACCAAAGGAATGCACAATCTCTTCAATGAGATAATACCAGAAAATTTCCCAAGCATGATAACTGAATTGGAAAAACCAATACAAGAGGCTTACAGGACATCAAATGTATAAAATTACAACAGATCTATACCAAGGCACATTATAATGACAATGCCTAGCATACAGAATAAGAATAGAATCTTGAAAGCTGCAGAGAGAGGAATCAGATCTCATATACAGGAGACCAATTCCTATCTCAGCAGATTTTCCAACCCAGACCTTCAAAGCCAGGAGATCATAGAACAACATATACCAAACTCTGAAAGAAAATGGACACCAACCAAGAATCTTATATCCAGCAAAACCAAGTTTTAGATTTGATGTGAAATAAAAACCATCCATGATAAACCAAAATAAAAAGAATTTACAACTAGAAAGCCTGCACAATAGAACATCCTCAGCAAAATATTCCACAAAGAGAAAGTGAAAAACAATGATGAAAATCAGCAGAAGAAGGAATTACACTAAAGGAAAATCTAATCAGAGGAGAAACCAAGTCACATTAAATACAAAAATGTCTGAGAATACAAATCATGTTTCAATAATAACCCTGAATGTTAATGGCCTAAACTTACCAATCAAAAGACATAGACTAGCAGATTGGATTAAAAAAAAAAAAGACCCTATAATATGCTGCCTCCAAGAGACTCATCTCATAGGAAAAGATATCCACAGACTGAACGTGAAGGGTTGGGAAAAATTACACCACTCACGTGGACTGGGGAACCAAGCAGGGTTTCCATCCTCAAGTCCTCATATCAAATAAAGTAGACTTCAAACTAAAGTCAGTCAAAAAGGATAAAGAAGGACACTAAATACTGCTCAAGGGAACCATACACCAACAAGACTTAACAATTATAAACATATATGCCCCAAACAATGGAGCAGCTATGTTCATCAAACAAACTCTTCTCAAGTTCAAGAGTCAAATAGACTACAACACAATAATTTTGGGTGATTTTAACACACCTCTTTCATCACTAGATAGATCTTCCAAACAAAACCTGAACAAAGAAACTACAAAACTCAATAATACAATCAATAACTTAGACTTAACTGACATCTATAGAATATTTCATCCTTCAACGAGAGAATACACTTTTTTCTCAGCAGCACATGGATCCTTCTCCAAAACAGACCATATACTATGCCACAATGCAACTCTTAGCAAATATAAAAATGTAGAGATACTACCATGCATTCGATCAGATCATAATGGAATGAAATTAGAAATCAATGATAAAATAAGAAATAAAATCCACTCCAACACCTGGAAACTAAATAATATGCTACTGAGTAAACAATGGGCTACAGAAGACATCAAGAAAACGATTAAAAAAAATTTAGAGGTGAATGAGAACACAGATACAACATATAAAAATCTCTGGGACACTATGAAAGCAGTTCTAAGAGGAAGGTTCATTGCATGGAGATCATTCCTTAAAAGAAGAAAAAGTTAACAAATAAGTGACTTAACATTATATCTCAAAGCCCTAGAAAAAGAAAAACAAATCAACACCAAAAGCAATAGAAGACAGGAAATAATTAAAATCAGAGCTGAAATAAATGAGATGGAACAAAAGAAACAATTGAAAAAACTGACAGAAAAGTTGGTTCTTTGAAAAAACAAATAAAATTGACAGACCCTTAGCCATGCTAGCAAAGAGAAGGAGAAAACTCAAATTACTAACATACGTGATGAAAAAGAAAATATCACAACAGACACTACAGAATCACAGAAGATAATTAGAAATTATTTTGAAAACTTGTACTCCAATAAAAGAAAATATTGAAGGCATTGACAAGTTTCTAGTCATATAATTTGCCTAATTTGAATCAGGATGATATACAAAATTTAAACAGATCAATTTCAAGCAACAAAATAGAAGACACCACCAAAAGTCTACCAACCAAGAAAAGCCCAGGACTGGATGGATACACAGCCGAGTTCCATAAGACCTTTAAAGATTAACTAATACTAATACTCTTCAATTTATTTTAAGAAATAGAAAAAGAGGGATCCCTTCCAAACTCATTCTATGAGGCCAATATCACTCTGATTCCAAAAACAAGCAATGGCACATCAAAAAACAGAAAACTTCAGACCAATATCTCTAATGAACACAGATGCACAAATTCTCAATAAAATTCTGGCAAATCTAATACAAAAACATATCAAAAAGATTGTGCACAATGATCAAGTGGGATTCATCCCTGGGATGCAAGTTTGGCTCAACATACAGAAATCAATAAATGTAATTCATCACATCAATAGACTTAAAGATAAGAATCATATGATCATCTCAATAGACACAGAAAAAGCCATGTTCTTGATGTTCAAAACACTAAAAAACTAGTGATAACAGGAACATATCTCAACATCATGAAGGCAATCTATGCTAAGCCCCAGGCCAACATCATTCTAAATGTAGAAGGCATTCCCTCTAAAAACTGGAACAAGACCGTGGTGCTCTCTTTCCCCACTTTTATTTAACATAGTTCTTGAAACACTGGCCAGAGCAATTAGACAAAAGAAATCAAAGGCATACACATAGAAAAAGAAGAACTCAATTTGGCACTATTTGCTGATGATATGATTCTATACCTAGAAGACCCTAAAAGTTCTACCAGAAAACTTCTAGAATTAGTAAGTGAATTCAGCAAAGTTTCAGGACACAGAATCAACATCCATAAATCAAAGGCATTTCTGTATATCAGTGACAAATCCTCAGAAAGGGAAATGAGGAAAACTACGCCATTAACAATAGCCTCAAAAAAAATAAATTAAAATAAAATACTTGGGAATCAATTTAACAAAAGAGGTGAAAAATCTATATAATGAAAATTACAGAACCCTAAAGAAAGAAGCCAAAGAAAACCTTAGAAGATGGAAAGATCTACCTTGCTCTTGAATAGGGAGAATTAATATTATCAAAATGGTCATACTTCTAAAAGCACCATATAGATTTAATGCAATTCCAATCAAAATCCCAATGACATTCCTCATAAAATAGAAAAAGCAATCATGAAATTCATCTGGAAAAATATAGACCCAGAATAGCTAAAGCAATCCTTAGCAGGAAGAGGGAAGCAGGTGGCATCACTATACCAGACCTTAAACTATACTACAATGCAACAGTAACAAAAACAACATGGTATTGGCACCAAAACAGACTGGCAGATTAATGGTACAGAATAGAGGACACAGAGACAAACCCACAAAATTACAATTACCTTGTATTAGACAAAGGTGCCAAGAACATGCATTGGAGAAAAGACAGCCTCTTCAACAAATGGTGCTAGGAATTGGAAATCCATATGCAACAAAATAAAATTAAACCTCTATCTCTCACCATGCACAAAACTCAACTCAAAACATATCAAGGTCTTAGGAATAAAAGCAGAGACCCTGCATCTAACAGAAGAAAAATTAAGTCCTAATCTCCATCTTGTGGACTCCTTTGGCACAAGATTAAAGAAAGAATCAATAAATGGGATGGACTCAAAGTAAAAAGTTTCTTCTCAGCAAAAGAAACAATCTGTAAGGTAAAATAGAGAGCCTACATCTTGGGAGCAAATCTTTACCCCTCACACATCAGGTAGAGCACCAATCACTAGGGTATATAAAGAACTCAAAAAGTTAAAACACCAAAAAAAAAAAAAAAAAAAAAACAAA